CGGCGGCAGCGGCGGCTTCCAGCACTGGGGCGGCATGCCCTGCCCCTGCAGCATGTGCCAGGTGCCACCGCCGCACCACCACGTGTCGGCCATGGGCGCGGGCACCCTGCCGCGCCTCACCTCCGACGCCAAGTGAGCCGGCCAGCGCAGGCGCGTTCTGCGCAGGGGGGCCGGGAGGCTGGGGGTGGGGGAGAGAAGCACTGGCCGGCGCTGGGACCTGGGACTGAGTTCCGTGGAGGAGCTCGGCACCGTGGGCTGGGGGTGGGGGGTGATGAGAACCGTACCCCGGTACAGCGAGGACCAACCAGCTCTGACTGTGGGGAGCGAGGGGCGTGCGCTCCGGGGGCCCAGGTCAGCCCTCTGGCTTTACAGGGCGCTGGGCAAGTAGATACCGTTCTGTAAGGCGCCGCCAGGGCACCCTTCCCTCCACCACCCCCACCCCCTAAGATTAATGATTCTAAAGGCAGGTGTTCCCGCAAACAGCGCCTCGGGGGCCGGGCAGCACCTCCTTACAAGGGGGAGGGAGGAGGAGGAGGGCGGCCGGGACTCCCTCTCCTTCCTCCTTTCTGGGAGTGTGGGAGGTTACCTAGCCGCGGAGCGAGCGGGTCCCGCCGGGCCGGCCTCGCCCCAGGGTCGTCCCTGGACCAGGGCCAGCGGCTAACGAGCTAGTGGGACGCCGGCATCCCGGACCAGAAGCACTTAGGAGCCCGCCCGATCTCGGTAAGCGGGTGAAACCACTGCCGTCTGAGCACTGTCCTCACCCCTCCCTGTCGCTCACGTTAGTTTGAGGGTTTGTGGTTTGCTAATAAATCTGTCCATGTTCGTTTTTCACAAGTACAAGCTTTATAGACGGCCAGAACGGAACCACTTGTGGATTGATCGAATGTAAACCTGTCGCCTTTGGGGGCTGCTTAATCTTGGTTGTTTTTAAATAGACCCACCCGGTCCCCGTTATTTCCGTTTTGAGCACACAAAATGATAGGGTTTCTTACCCAACTGGACCAGTTTTTTTGGCACTTAGGGTTTGACGAAACTCAAAGGCTATCGCTGTGAATATAGTTTGGGTTACTGGGGGGGGGGTGTCCCTTTTTTTTTCCTTTTCTTTCTTGGACGTGTAAATACAATGTCAGTGATGAGTCAGGGCGTGCTGCTGTTTGCTCACGTGACTGCCAGCCCCCCCCCAGCCCCAGCCCCCAGTCGAAACCCGGTTTCCTCTACATTGGTTTCTTCTTTGCCACGATTAACACAAATGACAAAGTCCTCACGTGCGTCCCGCATCGGCAACTGGCCGCGGAGCTCCGGAATTGCTACCCCGGCGTCTGAGCCTTGCGGTCTAACACCCTCCTCCGATCGCCGCCCCTCGAAGAGAGTGTATCATCTGTTTTATTTTTGTAAAAAGAAAAAAAAGTGCTAAATAATATTTATTACTTGTTTGGTTGCAAAAACGAAATAAATGATCGAGTGTTGAGATTTTAAATAAAATTCAAAAGTCGGGCTTTTCCAGCGCGGGTGGGACGGGGCGCGGCTCGGCTCGGCTTGTGGGCTTTGGGGACCTCTCCCGCGCCTTCGCCCCGGGAATCTGCTCTCGCTGCTCCCGCTGCTCCCCCTGCTCCAGCCCCAGGCTCCACCACGAAGCACTCGCGGCCTCTCACGTAGGGCCTGTGCCAACTCCAGGTGTTTCTCGCCACTTGATTGTCCTTATTTTTATTTTCTGACGCCTAATCGCGAAGCCCTTTTCCCTTCTATTGAGGACCGTGTTGGTTGAAAGTGAACTTTTCCCTCTCCGAACTTTGGCTTTGGGCTCTGCCGGTGAGGGCCAGTGTTTTTGGCTGGGTGTCCAGGAGCTCTGGTCCGCTCCCCTGGTCCCCCCCCCCCACACCCAGCGGGACAGTTGGGAGCCTTTGTTGGGGGGGGGCGGGTTTGATCCACTAACCAGGCTCCCATCGGCCCTGGCAGATGTGCCCTCACCCCTGGTCTGGCAGGCAAAGTGTGCCCTGCCCCCTGGGAGCCTGGCTCATCCTCCCACCTGGGTCCTCTTGCAGCCAGTGGGCTTCTCACCACCCAGAACTGCACATTATATGTAATATTTAAGTTTGGGGAAAAGAGGACAGGCTACATGTGGGGTTCCCAACCCTGGGGCCTGCCATGCACCGGCGTGCTGGCACAGAGGGGGCTCCTGTGGCCCCAGGTCCTCTCCAGGCCACCCACTTGGTGGCTACCATTGGAAGGAGCTTTTATGGGGGGCACTAGTGGGTGGAGGGGTTGGAACCCTGTTTCCTGAGATTGGCCCTGCAGCCTGGCCCATGTGGCTCTTCTCCCTGGCCCAGGCTGAGAATGGGTCTACCCTCCTCCGGTGCTCCGGGCTGGCCCTTCAGAGGCCTCCTGCAGGTAGGGTGGCTGGGCTGCGGGCCAGACAGCTGGCCCCTGGGAGCTGACACAAGGCACCTTTGGGTTTCGCTTTTCACTGAAGGCTGGATGGAGATGAGGACAGAGGTGGAGGTACTCTAGGAGAGCCCAGGAGGTGAAGGGCAGGATTTCATAGCCTGTACTCTGGAATTACACTTGAAACTTTGAAACTAGCTGAGAATTCAAAAGCGGGTCCCCTCCAGATGCAGACACAGGGAGATGGGGAAAGGCTGGAACTGGGAGGGGGCACCTCAGAACCATGAGGTGGGGTGAGGGGTCCTGGCTCTGAGCACGTGGGTGCGGTTTCTGGCTGTGCAAGGAATCTGCTCATAAGGGCAGTTGTTGGAAGGAAATAAATCTTCACACACCGCACACCGGCTTTCAGCTGGCAGGCAGCCGCCAGCCACCGCCTCCCCTGAGCCACCTGCCTGCACTGTGCCCTGCCAGGACGGGGATCCTGCGGTGGGGCGGGGCAACCAGAGGCCCAGGAGCCACCCACAGCGCAGCAGCGGAGGTGCCCAGGGCTTGCTTGCAGAGGGCACTCAGCTGGGCACCCCAGTGGGAGCCCAGGTCAAGGCTCATTTTCAGAGTATAGCAGGCTAGGGGGGTCGGGGAGGGGGAGGTGGTCTGCCTAACTGCCTATCTGACTTGGAGAGCCCTTAATGGGCGCAGGTCTCACTGAGAGAGGGGTGGGCAAACGAGATGGCAGGGTGGTCCCCAGGCCTGCGGGGAGGGCGCCGGGTCTTTTCTTCCCTGAGGCATTCATCAGAGCTTCTCTCTGGCCTGCGCTGGGCCACAGCTTGGCTCTGCCGGCTTGTCGCCACTCAGCTCCAGCTATCAGTCTTGGGGCCCAGAGCTTTCCTTCACCTGCCCCCAAGATCTGCTAGAGTCTCAGACTGGCTTTCCTCCTCCTTCCCTGTACTCCACCCCCCTCTAGTCCCCCCAACATAGGCCTCTGAGCCCCCCAGGGCATTATCCTTCCTCCACACCCCAGCTAGGCAGGATGCTGGGGTGCTGGCCAGGGGACTTGGGATTCTCATCCCAGGGATCACAGTGCTGGGGGCTGGGGGCGGCGGGGACTCAGCCAACCCCAGACCTCGTGTGCATCCAGTTGGGGCACCTGTGCTGAGACCTAGAGATGTCAGCCGGAGACCCAGGTCCCTGGGGGGCAGGGAGGAGGGGCAGGGCAGCTGCCCACGGAGCCAGGGGGAGCCCAGGACCAGGGCTGGCTGAGCGATCCCCTGGGCCCTCAGCGCTGAGGGAAAGTCTGTCTCCTCCCCTTAGGGCAGGATGCTCCTGGCAATCTAAACTTCCTCTGTTAAATGTTCAACTCATGCTCCCCAACAAGTTCATTTAAGGCAAAGCACCCCACCTACAAACCCCAGCTCTCTGGGTGTTTCTCTTACAGACATCCCTCTCCCCACACAAGTCCTAATGCAGTTGGGGGGCCTTGAGTAAGGGCCCCACACCTGCAGGTGACAGGCCTCCCTCAGTTGTCACCTCTGTAGACTGATGGGGGCGGGGGGCAGAGTCAGGCTGCTCACAGGCTGCTGCTGGGGCCCGAAACTGACCCCCCATGCAGCGACAGGCGACCTCCTTGTCCTGTGATGGGCCACTCTCGGGGGACAGAGGTGGCTCTCCCACACTCACACCCCTATCCCCACCTCTCTCTGAGGGTCTGCATAAGGTGAGGTCAGGTCCTCTGGTCCCAGGATAAAGACTCAGGGTGAGGGCACAGCATGGAGACCACGTGGAGGGAGGAGGCAGTGCCAGGCTGCCTGAGGGAGTTGAGGGCGCTAATATTATGCCAGGAGTCCGGAGAGAAGCTTACTGAAGGCCAGGCAACCGCCGTCCTTTGCGGGGTGCGGCCCTCATTCATGCATGGCCACCAAGGTCTTCTGAGGACGGTGCTTGCTGTCTCACAGGTGAGCAACTAAGATCCAGAGAGCGAGGTGGCCCTCTCCCAGGCATATACAACAAATAGAGGTGGTAAGGTGCAAGCAGGTAGTCTGACCCTGGGGCTCGCCTCTGGAGGGCCCCCACCCATACTCAGGCCCTCCTCTGAGCTCTGGCACCGTCACCCCCTCCTCCCCAAGCCAGCAGCCCCCCTCCGAGTGATGCATCTGGTTCTCCTTAGAGCCGTCTAACCCTGTGCCCTATGGGTGCTGTGCCAACTGGCCTTAGCAATTCACAAGCTCAGAGGGGCATGGGGGAAGCAGGGCCAGAGCAGGTGAACCCAGACCACCCTTAATTAGCACCTCTGATGACCCTGGAAGGGACTGTCACGCTGTCTGCCCTGTCGTGTGGCCACACTGGTGCACCCACCAGAAAGGAGTCAGGGGCCAGGCCGGTGCCTACGGGCCCTGCGGCTGGGGGCTGGGTGACCCTCCTCCCAGGGGACCTCGGGCCCCACCTACCAACCCGGCACAGACTGGGGGCTGGGGCAAGCTGGCCCTCCAGCTTTCAGTCTGCATTCCCTGAAAGTAGCGTGGCCCGCCAAGGGCACCAAGCAGGAGCATGTTTATTTGGGGGCCCAGACACCAGGTTGCTGCTCCCGCGAACGAAGGGCCCCCAGAACTGGCGCCTAACTGTGTCATCCCTGTCCCCTCTGCCCTTTGCTTCATGGACCCTCCCGTGGGAGAAGGGGCCTGGAGACTCCAGCCTGACTGGCCAGGGCATGCACCCCTGAGGCTGCAGACCCACCTGCTGGCTGGTGCCCGGCATGGCCCG